TGTGTGTGTGTGTGTGTGTGTGTGTGTGTGTGTGTGTGTGTGTGTGTGTATGTGTTGAGCATTCAGCAGATGATGATTTCAACACACCTTGCATATGGTCTGCCAAGGCTAAGAATGTTCATAATGTTCATCATAGCACTATTTGAAAGAAAGTAGATTATAAACAATACAAATTTTCTGTGCCAGTAGGCTGGCTAATGAAATGATATTATATTCACTCCATGGACTACTTTGCAGAAATTTAAAATTATGCTATAAAAAAGTAATAATTCATGTAGAAATACATTTATAACATATTTTGAAATGAAAAAAGTGGGTTTTAAAGTGGTATAATTCTGGTTTTCTAAAAAAATGTATATATCAATATATACAAACAGACAGGAATAAAAAATTACCAAGTAAAAACAGGAAGAAAAACTAAAATACTAACAGTGATTATATCTGAATAAAAGAATACTGAGAAGTTGCTTTTCCTTGTTGTACTAATACATTTTCTTATTTCCCAAACTTTCCATAATGCTCAAGTTTTATTTTCATAGAAATATATTTTTATTTTGGTTGTCTAGAATAGGGGTTAGAAAACTTTTTAGTGACAGGGCATGGTGGCTCACGCCTGTAATCCCAGTACTTTGGGAGGCTGAAGTGGGCAGATCACGAGGTCAGGCGTTTGAGACCAGTCTGACCAACATGGGGAAACCCCATCTTGACTAAAAATACAAAAATTAGCAGGGCATGGTGGCAGGTGCCTGTAATCACAGCTACTCAGGAGGCTGAGGCAGGATAGTCACTTGAACCTGGGAGGCAGAGGTTGCAGTGAGCCAAGATTGTGCCACTGCACTCCAGCCTGGGCAACAGAGCAAGTCTCTGTCTCAAAAACAACAACAACAAAAAAACTTTTTAGTGAAGGGTCAGATAGTAAACATCTTTGGTGTTATGGGCCATGCATTCTCTATTTCAATGCAACTCTGCTATTTTAGGAGGAAAGCAGCCATAGCTAATATATAAATGAATAGGCATGGCTGTGTTCCAATACAACTTTTATTGCAATATGAGCAGTGAGCTGAATTTGGCCTTCAGTTATAGTTTGCCAGGGTGGCCTAGAACAGTGGAAATAAGGAGAATCGAGTTGGAGGGGAAATGGCAGTCAAAGAATAGATCAGTTTCATGTGGAGTTAGGTGCTGGTCTCTGATGTCAAGCCGGTCAAGCAAGAAAGAAGCAAGGGTGTTGTCTGTACAGAAGATGAATCCATGTGAATAATGACAAGGTGAGGGTGGAGGGCAGGAGAATAAGCCAGGAGACAAAAATATAAGCGACACAGAGAAGCCAGTAAGTCAGAAGATGGCAGGAACA